AAACGATACGATAGGACTCACAGGTAAGGACCCACGAGGGGCGAGGGGCAAGTGGGGACAGTGCGAAGAATAGACGGTGAGAGGAATGTCTTGAGTTGAAGAGAGAAGAGTCAGGACTAGACCCAACTGCTAAGCCTGGATAAACAATAACGAAGACGACATAAAAGACAACAGGGACTCTGCGGGTGCTGAATGCAACTGACTGGAAGCATATCAACTTGCAATGACTGGATATGGTTCAGGGACACGTTGCTGCAAAGGCGACGCAAACGCACATCGCAAGCACTTCAGCCCTAAAAAACGCACAAAGACACAGCTATACGGCAATGGCACTTTTAAGTTATTTGAATTTTTAAGCAAAAGTCAGATAATTTATGTGTATTGTGGTGGAGGTGCCGGATCATTCAACGATTGAAAAAGATTTACTTCATTGTAAGGACGTCTGATAGTATTTGCTAAGTATGTAGTCCAGTAGTCATGATATGTTTCAAGTCTGTCAAGTTGTTTGTCACTAAGTGTCTTCCAGTATACGTTCAAAGCTGGTGTGTTTGTCGTGAGGTGGAGAGATTCACTGGTGGCAAATTCGTCCCACCTCACTCCCAACACCCAACGTAATGCACGATTCTGGATACTTTGAAATTTTAGTGCGTTTGTCTTGGCGATTAACGTCAGAGCGAGTGGAAAGTAAGAGAGTAGAGGACGAATGAGTGCTTTGTAAAGATGTAGTTTTGTCTTGGGACTGGCTCCTCGCAGCTTACATAACCTTGAGAGTGCAGTTCCCGCCAGTGTGGTCTTTGCAGTAATGTGAGATTTTAGGTTCAGTGTGTGGTCAAGGGTAACACCAAGGACAACTGTCGAGAAGGAGCGTGGGATGGGGGTACAGGAGGTGCTTTTGAGTTCGACAAGAGTGGGGACATCACGCATTCTATGGAAGTAAGTGATTTTTTACTTATTTGGGTTGGTTTTGATGCGCCATAATAATTCCCAGGCGGTAATCCTGTCGACCTCTCTTTGTGTTCTGCGTGCAAGGAAACGAAAGTTTTCATGTGTTGTGAGTTGAGTGATGTCGTCTGCGTAAGAAAGGGTAAGTGTGTTTGGGTAAAGAGGTTCAGGTAAATCATTCGTGTAGAGTATATATAGGGTGGGAGACAGGACAGAGCCTTGGGGTACACCCGCTTTTAATGTGAAATAGTCCGAATAATGATCTCTGAACCGTATACGCATCGTTCGGCCATCTAAAAAGTGACATAATAATTTCATCATATTTATAGTTAAGTCAAAGGATGTGCAAAGTTTGTATTTTAATCCTTCATGCCAAACAGTGTCAAAAGCTTTCTCTACATCTTTGGCGACAAGGGCGGAGGTACAGTTCTGGGCTTTATTGATACGTACATAGTTCAGGATTATATTCAAAACGTCTTGGGTAGATCGTTGTTGTCGGAAACCGAATTGTCTTTCAGTAAGCAAGTTATGTGTCTCTAGGTGAGTCCTGAGTCGCATATTTACAAGTCGTTCAAAGGTCTTACCCAAAATTTCAAGGAGGCTAATTGGTCTATAGTTCTTGGGGTCAGTCAAGTCTTTCCCAGGTTTTGGTATGAGACATGCAGTTGCAGATTTAAAGAATGGGGGGAAATAGCCAGATGCAAGAGAGGCATTAAAGAGGTCAGTGATAGCAGAAGCAACAGAAAGTGGAAGGTGACGAAGGACTGAATGTGACAGACCTGAAGCACCTGGAGCTTTTTTAGGAAGGTGTGTTAGTAAGGAGTGAACATCATTTACAGTAAAAGGAGAGTTTAGAGGATGTGTGGAAGATAGGGTGTCTTCTCCCACCCAAACCCGGCTATACTTACTGACACTGTAAACAGCAAGTTACATGAAATATCAAACTGGATGACGCCCAACAAACTCATACTTAATATAGACAAAACCTACTTCATGCTTTTTGGAAATAGAGCATTAAATATCCAGCTAAATATGTCGATAAATGGTTCACCCATTAGAAGACACTGAGGGGAAATTTCTAGGTCTCCACTTTGACTGTAATCTTAAATTTCAGAACCACATCCAGCATATAACTAAGAAAGTTTTCAAAACAGTAGGTATCCTTCCAAGGTACGATACTATGTACCCCAAATGGCGCTCCTTACTTTATATCACTATAATATACCCTTACCTCACCTATGGTATTTGTACTTTGGGATCTACCATGGCCAATCACCTTAAACCTTTAATAAGCCAACAAAAAGCTGCAGTGCTGATGATCACAATCTCCTGTGCCAGATAACACACCCCACCACTCTTCAAGAGCTTGAACGTACTTAATATACACACTTATTATTGTGCCTACTCAAACTTCTAGACAGCTTCAACAGAACACACAAGCAAAACACAAGGCACAAAACACTTTTTGACATCCCTCGTGTCCATCTCACACTATGCAAAAATTCAATGTACATAACGGGCCCGAAGATCTGGAACTCTTTGCCCGAACCAGCAAAAGGTTCTCTGCCCACAAATCAGTTTAGGACTATATTTAAAAATAATGTCATCTCTCAGTAATAACCATACCCACACTATGTTAATCTCTAACCAAATTTGAAGCAACTCTCTTAAATATTTTATTATCCCTTATCTATTAATTCATTATTACAAACCTAAAAATGTATGTTTGTATCATAAATTGTACTACCTCATATTAATGTAATAAATGAGTAAAATATTGAATATTTGAAGTTTGTCTAGATTTAAGTAGTCTTTTAAGTATTAAGGTTAAGTCTGCCCGAAATGCCTCAGCATGATAGTGGTTTTCTTTGTACCAGTCAGATTATGAAATGTAAACACACATTGTAACCTTTGCAAAGAAATAAATTTTTTATTTGATTTTGCTCTCACGCCGCCGGAGATTCATACTCCGTCTTCACTCAGTTCACTTCTTGTTTTGCATTACTATTGGTTAATTTCAAGTTTATTTCTTTAAGATTTTCCATCTGTGCTTCAGTTCATGTTTTATTGTTTTCTCCTTTTATCCTCATCTATTAAAAAAAAATATTATTTGTCTATATTTCTAATTTGGAGGGAGAGAGTATGGAGGAGGTGAATGTGTTCAGGTATTTGGGAGTGGATGTGTCAGCAGATGGGTCTGTGAAGGATGAGGTGAGTCATACAATTAACGAGGGGAAAAAGGAGTCTGTGGAGACAAAGAACTTTATCCATAAAATCAAAGAGGGAAATGTATGAGAGTATAGTTATATCAATGCTCTTGCACGGGTGTGAGGCATGGGTTGTGAATGTTGCAACAAAGAGAAGGCTGGAGGCAGTGGAGATGTCATGTCTGAGGGCAATGTGTGGTGCGAATATAATGCAGAGAATCTGTAGTTTGGAGATTAGGAGAAGGTGTGGGACTACCAAAACTATTATACAGAGGGCTGAGGAGGGGTTATTGAGATGGTTTGGACATGTAGAGAGGCTGGAACGAAATAGAATGACTTCGAGAGTGTATAAATTTGTAGTGGAGGGAAGGCGGGGTAGAGGGTGGCCTAGGAAAGGTTGAATGGAGAAGTAAAGGAGGTTTTGTGTACGAGGGTCTTGGACTTCCAGCAAGCATGTGTGAGCGTGTTAGATAGGAGCGAATGGAGACAAATGGTTTTTAGGACTTGACGTGCCGTTGGAGTGTAAGCGAGGTAACATTTATGAAGCGATTCAGGGAAACCAGCAGGCCGGTCTTGATTCCTGGAGATGGGAAGTACAGTGCCAACACTCTGAAGGAGGGGTGTTAATGTTGCAGTTTTATAACTAGTGTAAGCATGCCTCTGGTAAGACAGTGATGGAGTGGATGATGAAAGTTTTTCTTTTTCGGGCCACCCTGCCTTGGTGGGAAACGGCCGATGTGTTAATAAAAAAAAATATATATTTTTCATTAAGGATTAAACTGAGATCTTGTACTACTGGTTCCACACCAAGATCCTCACAGTATAATTCGGAAACGCTGACTTAAAAATAGTTTCTTGCTAGAAAATGATGTAAAATAAGTTCTTATTGCATGTGATAATTTATCTATTTTTTCTAACATATCGCAGGTGTTAATATGGCCTCAACACAGTGTTCTTGATATATACTGCATCAAGCATCAATAAGTATGCCTTAATAATTATGAATATTCCTGATTTTTGGTGAATTAAATTTCCTTGGTTTTAATACTCATTTAATATATTGTACACACCATCCCTATACAGAAGACGTATGTGCAACACTTTCCATTAAGTAATAAGATTTATTAAAAAACTGGCGAATTTTAAATCAGAGAGCAAACAATAAGAAGCGCTATCGATACAACAAATATAATAGAATGCATAATAGGAGACACGAGCAAAAAAAGAAAGTCAATATTACATATGTTTTGTTGAGAGAAGTTTCTTCAGAGCTGAGAAAAATCAATGAAAACTGGTGAATGAAATTAATTCCTAATTAACATTGCATAAACTGATGTAACACTTTACGGTCACATGATATATAGTTTTTACAAAAGTGGATAACATTTAGCAGAACACATGCAGAAAATTTCGGGCATGGTAAATCTTAATAGAATATAACAAAATCTAAAAACATTGTACACACATGCATACAAAAAACAAAGATAATTCTGATGAATATAACAAATACATATGCATGAAAGTATATTAAAAGTGTAGCATTATACAGGACGATAATAAAGATAGAGTTATTTCCAGCCATATAAATTATGTTTTCATCCACATTTTTTTTAAACTTTAGTCGGTTCATTATTATTATTATTATTATAATAATCAAGGGGGAAGCGCTAAACCCGGAGGATTATACAGCGCCTTGGGGGGGGATGTGGAAGACATTCAGACTTTTAGTCGGTTCAGAGGCAGAAACACTGGCAGTGAGAACACAAGAGGTGAGCACTCGTTGTTGCTGTTGTTTGTTGTTGTTGTGATGGTGGTGGTAGTAGTCATTGTGTGTTGAGACTGTCCGGCGACTCTGGAGAAAGAGCGATGTGTTTTTATTCCTTTGTGAAATAACAGTCACAGTTTGATCATGTGACAACCCCCTTTGTCCTTCAAATATCGGATTTCACTCTCTCAAGAAGGCAGGACACCGACGAGAATAAGAGGTGTGCTTCGCCGCAGTTAAAGCAAGATGGATGTTGGTTGCAGGATGGATCATTATGGCCTGCTGCCCAGCAAATCGAACATTATTCTACATTGTTTGGCCAAGTGGCCATACCACCATCCTTTTTGTCATTGCTGGGCTGTTGATTTGTATGCTCTCACGTCGGAGTAATGACCTGCGATATTGACTGAGGAGGGTAGGTCGCCCCAACTGAAAACGAGTGACTACTTTGCTTGAACATTGTCTCCGCCCACCAGTTGGACGAATATAGGTTTCAACCTTGGTGTGAGGTAGATGTTGTATAGCAGAAGCTGTACTACAGTGTTGGACGATAATGATTCCATAACTTAATGAAGGAATTATATTGTATTGTAAAAAGAGTGTCACCAACAGTGTAGTTCTGCGAGTTTCCCTGATCAGAGGAATTTACTGGTGAGAAGCCCCTCACCAGCGTCAAGGGATCTACAATACAATACTTTATTTGGACATGATATATAGTTGTACAAGGAATTATAGTAGTTGGGTGTACATGCCAAAAGCCCCTTGTATGCAGAGCATTATGGGCAGGCTTAAAATTAACTTAAAATTAACTAAGCAATGATATATTCAGTGGTAAAAAATATCGTAAATAATTTACAATATAAAGTACAATTGAGTATCTGAAACAGTGAAGTTTGAACATTTCGATTTTGAAGCATTTAGTTGTGAATTTGTCGCATTACAATGTATAACATAACAAGATGATCAATTTGCTATTAGTTGTCTTGAGGTTTTAAGATTTAAGTAAATGGAAGATTTATTGGTAAAGTTATATATTGAGTATTGATTATTTAGTCCAGAGCGAGTAAGTGTTTTTTTTTAGAAGTCTTAAATTGATCTTCACACCAGGTTACTTTAGTATTTTCTGGTAATGAATTCCAAATTTTGGGGCCCTTTATGTGCATAGTTTTTTTACACAGTGTGATATGGACATGGGGTACATCAAAAAGAGATCTGTGTCTTGTGTTATGGTCGTGTGTCCTGTTAAGGTTGGTGAGGAGAAGTTTGAGTGGAGGGTTATGTTTGCGTGTATTGTTCTATGTATGTAGTAGGCACATGAATAAGTGTGGATGTTCTTTACGGTGAGTAAATTCAGACTTTTGAAAATTGGTGGAGTATGCTATCGCGAGTGGGAATTTTTTATCATTCTGACTGTAGCCTTTTGCTGGGTTATTATAGGCCTTAGGCGATTTAATGTTGTTGATCCCCATGCACAAATTCCATATGTGAGATAAGGGTAGATGGGTGAATGATACAGTGCAAGGAGAGCTGATTGTGGAACATAGTACCGTATCTTTAATAGTATGCCTACTGTCTTTGAGATTTTCTTGGAAATTTGTTGTATATGTGTCTGGAATTTGAGGCTACTGTCAAGGTGGATTCATAGGAATTTTCTCTCTGTGAGTCTTGTGACGGGTGATCCATTTAGTGTTATGTTAAGTGGAACATTTGCAGCTCTGGTTCCAAACTGAATGAAATAGGTTTTGTCAGTATTTAGGGTAAGTTTATTAGTCATCATCCAGGTAGATATTTTCTGCAATTCAGCACATTATCTTTGTAATTGTGAGTTCATTACCTCTGTAACTTGCTCAGCTATCAAAACTTTGTAGTCCAGTCCCTGGACCCATTATGTACCTCTGTAATCTTTTGACTACCGCCCACAGGATGGGTATGTGGTGCATAATAAACAGTAGACCACGACATCCTACTCCACGAACTTGACCATTACGGTATAAAAGGCCATGCGCTTGCTTATTTCAAATCTTACCTTACTAATAGGTATCAGTATGTCACCATTAAAGACACAGCATCAACAACACGGCCACTTGATACTGGAGTTCCGCAAGGAAGTGTCCTTGGTCCCCTGCTCTTCCTCATATACATCAATGATCATCCAAACGTATCCCAACACCTGAAACCTGCTGACGACACGACTTAGTCATCTCTCACCCTAATCTTGCCACCCTCAACACCATTGTTAACGAGGAGCTGATCAAATATCGACTTGGATGACAGCCAATAAACTTACGTTTAAAACACTGACAAAACCTACTATATTATGTTTTTTAGCAGAGCAGGAGATGCACAAATTAACATTAAGATCGACAACACTCTAATTACCAGACATAAAGGGCAAATTCCTAGGCCTATACCTGACAACAACCTGAATTTCAGCACCCATATCCAACACATAACCAAAAAAGTATCCAAAACGGTGGGATCCTCTCCAAGATACGATACTACATGCCGCAAATGCCCTTCTCACACTAACCACTCACTTATTTATCCATACCTCACCTATGCTATTTGTGCTTGGGGATCAACTGCAGCAACACACCTAAAGCCAATAATAACCCAACAAAAAGCTGCAGTAAGAATAATCACTAAATCCCATCCCTGGCACACCCCCCCCCCACTCTTCATAGATCTAACTTACTCCCTGTTCAGTACATCCACACTTACTACTGTGCAATCTACATCTACAGGACCTTAAAACTCCAATATCAACCTTGACCCAAAATGCTTTCTTGATAGTTGTGGGCAGAACCCACAGGCATAACACCAACACAAACATCTCTACGACATTCCCCGTGTCCGACTAAACCTTTACAAAAATTCAATGTATGTTTAAAGGCCCTAAAATCTGGGAAAGCCCTACCTTGAGAACTCTAGAACTGCAGACACATTCATCACCTTCAAAAAACCATTAGAAAAAAATCTTATCTCCCTGATACACCCCATCAAATAACTACACGAATACCACCTGGTGGTTCACACTTTCAAATCACTCACCCATTTGACCATAAACAGAAATATTAATCTCAATCTTAAAATAATGAATCCTATGATACTCCAATACTGAAACTATGTAAATGTGCCAAAACAAAAGCATTCACATTGCTAAACTCACAAACTAGTATTTAGTCACTTAGCCATAATATCAACTTACCTCATAATTTGTAATATTTTAAAACAAAGAATTAAACTAAGTCTGCCCGAAATGCCTAGCCATGCTAGGCGTTCTAGTGGTACACTCTGTTATCATTATTTAACTACATGTAAACCACACAACAACCAAATTCTGTAAACTCAACATTGTAATCTTTATAGAGAATAAAATTTGAATTTGAATTTGAACAGTGTTGGCGAGTATGACTGGGAATTGGATCTGTGTTCCAGTTCCCTGAATTAAACCTGAATACTTTCCACATCTTCCCACAGGCGCTGTATAATCTTATGGGCTTAGCGCTCCCCCATGATTATATTATAATCATGGGGGAGCGCTAAACCCGTAGGACCATACAGTGCATGTGAGGGGGGGATGGAAGGTACTCAGGCTCAATTCAGGGAACCGGAGCACAGATCCAATTCCCTAGATCAAGAGCCCCTCACCATCGTCAAGCAACCTCCTTTGAGGGCCCATGATTATAATGATAATTTAATTAGGTACATCCAACTCTTCAAAGCACTGAATAAGATGTCATGGCCAGCGAAGATCAAGAATGTTTTGATGGCGTGGTCAGGAAGCTACGCTTAAGGGTTTGTTGTGTGGAGGGTGACAAATTTTGTTCTTCGTCGGTGTTTAAAGGCTGCTTACAGGGGGATAAGTTTCCAAGTGTTACGCGAAAGATGTAAAGCTTCAGCGTTATCATTCTGTTGTTGATTTTTTTAGGGGGGGGGGCGAGAAGGGCAAATGGTCAAAGCCACGTCAATCTTTATTGTACCCAGGGGGAAACCGGTTCCATGGTCAAAGTAAAGCAATGATCAGAGCAGCAGGAGGAATAGGTAGAACACCGATACCGGTTTAGAGCAACAATTGATTGCTTGAAAGTGGTTCCATGTTCTGAGCGTCTATGATCATGGTTTACCTGGAGAGGGTTTCGGGGGTCAACGCCCCCGCCGCCCGGTCTGAGATCAGGCCTCATGGTGGATCAGAGTCTGATCAACCAGGCTGTTACTGCTGACCGCATGCAAGCTGACTTACGAACAACAGCCGGTTGGTCAGGTACTGACATTAGATGCCTGTCCAGTGCCTTCCTGAAGACAGCCAGGGGTCTATTGGTAATCCCCCTTATGTATGCTGGGAGGCAATTGAACAGTCTTGGGCCCCGGACACTTATTGTGTTGTCTCTCAGTGTACTCGTGGCACCCCTGCTTTTCATCGGGGAATGTTGCATCTCCTGCCGAGTCTTCTGCTTTCATAGGGAGTGATTTTCGTGCGTAGGTTTGGTACCAATCCCTCCAGGACTTTCCAAGTGTATATTATCACGTATCTCTCTCGCCTGCGTTCGAGGGAATACAGATCAAGACCTTCAAACCGTTCCCAGTAGTTTGGGTGACTTATCGCACTTATGTGTGTCATGAAAGTTCTTTGTACACTCTCCAGGTCTGCAATGTGACCAGCCTTGAAGGGGGCCGTTAGTGTACAGCAGTATTCCAGCCTAGATAGCACAAGCGATTTGAAGAGAATCATCATGGGCTTGGCCTCCTTAGTTTTGAAGGTTCTCATCCATCCTATCATTTTCCTAGCGGATGAGGTAGATACATTGTTGTGGTCTTTGAAGGCGAGATCCTCTGACATTATCACTCCCAGGTCCTTCACATTACTTTTCCGCTCCATTGTATGGTTAGAATTTGTCGTATACCCTGACACATTTTTAATTTCTTCAAGTTTCCCATATCTGAGTAGTTGAAATTTCTCCTCGTTGATCTTCATATTGTTTTGAGTGGCCCATTCGAAGGTTTGGTTGATATCCGCTTGGAGTCTCGCGGTGTCTTCGATGGAGGTCACTGTCATGGTGATCCGGTGTTCATCCACAAAGGAAGACACGGAGCTATGGCTTACATCTCTGGGTTGTGTAATTGACGGGTATCTAGGTAGTTGGCTGTCTTGCTTCTTAGAACCCTATCAAAGACTTTTATGATATGGAATGTTAGTGCTAGCGACCTGTAGTTCTTTGCAGTTGCTTTACTGCCACCTTTATGGAGTGGGGCTATGTCTGTTGTTTTAGTGAGTGTGGAACGACTCCCTGTGTCCATGCTCCCTCCATAAAATGCTGAAAGGCACGCGATAGGGCTTCTTGCAATTCTTGATGAACACGGAGTTCCACGAGTCTGGACCAGGGGCAGAGTGCATGGGCATGTCATTAATTGCCTCTTCAAAGTCTTGTGGAGTTAAAATAATATCTGAGATTTTTGGGATGACCAAATTTTGGGTTTCGTTCATAAAGAATTCATTTGGATTGTCGACTCTTAGTCTGGGAAGCGGCTCGATGAATACGAATCATATTGGCACTTTAGTATCTCCTTCATTTCTTGGCTGTCATCTGTGTATGTCCCATTCCGCCTACGCAGGGGCCCAACACTGGATGTTGTTTTTTTTCCCTTACAGTTGGCAATAGAGAAGAATTTTTTTTTTTTCAATTTCCTTTATGGATTTTAGTTCTTAATGAATGTTGCTGTCACTAGAGATCCAGAATAAGATAAATCTCGTTCATTATAGAGTAAAAAATGGGGAAAGGGGCATTTCCAAGGTTAAACAAACAATAAACCACGTATCCACCCTGAACCAGGGTCACCTTCCCTGCGACTGGTTGTGTGTGTTCCTCCCTGGTAACATTTGCTTATCGAACGTGGCACACATCAGGATGCCACCTCCAGAATTCTGGAGGTGGCATCCTGATGTGCTGTATAAGGATAATAGCGTCAACGGCAACCCGGAAAGAGTGCCAAGAGTCTTACACTGACGCTACTTCTGGATCCACAGGCAACCGCCAGTAGCATTTCCTTCATCAAAGGCCCCGCCAGGTGGCCACCCAATCTCTTCTTGGAGGTTGGAGGGTCAACTGACATGTCCCGAGATGATTCAATGTTCCTGGAGTGGAGTGAGCACGTCAGCAGTACAAGCAGAAGTTCTTAACAGGGCAGTGAGTTATTCCTTTTCCCTTCTGTGTAGAAACTGGCTTTCAAAAAAGAGAAATATGCCAACTAATGAGGCGAAATGGGGAGAGAGGGGTTAGGGTATATTCGAGTCAACTCGGGAGAGAAGTAATACAACTCCTCGGATCAACAGCGCCCTCGTCAATTAATTTATCCCCTTTGAAGGGAATTATTTTACAAAGGCAGTACACACAACTCGTCTTGCATACAAAATTTTATGGAATGTCTTTAATTCCCTAATAAATAACATCAATATCAGATTAACAAGCATTCAGACAGTTTGTTACGTTCTAGGAACATAATTTCAGACAGCCATTCTGTTGTTGATATCGTCGTCTTTGTGTAGCGAATCCTTAACCTCACTCTCATCTGCCCTCAAGTCATTTTCATCTTCGACAGAGGAACGCCTGCAGATAATTGTCCTGTAGAAAAACTCTTTGCCTTGGGTAATAAGTGGTTTCTGGAACAAGACCCACGACTGTGGAGCGATCAGCTTCTTATCGACGTCCTCAGGCGAGTTGCTGCCTGCGGAGTGCACAACAACTTCATTACTGCTATTGTTATCATCATCATCATCATCATCAACAGAGTTTATGCAGGGAAAGTATATTCTGGATGGTTGTGCATGGTATACAAGTGTAGTTGAAATTCTTGGAACGCTATCTGGGAGCTAAATGTATTTATTTTAATTTCAGGAAAGATTGTACAACTACGTTATATAAAGCTAATTAAAAATTTTGGAAGCATGTCTAAAAGAATGTCTTTTAGAATGCTTAAGGTATTTGAAAATATGCTTTTAAAAGACTATCTTCAGGTGCAGATGAAGATTGTGCAGTAGTTAACGGGTGAGGCGAGAGTGAATGACTGCTGGGTTGTCGCACCATGCACTCTCATGGATGGCTATTAAGGAGCCAGGATGTCAAGTGATTAGCTACAGCCAGAATGGCAACCGAAGTTTCCAAGACAGAATTTCCTGGAAGGCATGGCTTCTATACAAGGCTGGAAGAACAACGAGAGAGGTATATCCTACATAATCTAAAAGAGTATATCACTCCTGATGTGTATACACTGGAACTAGCAGTGCCTAAACTTGGAGTGTTGTATATATCTATATGTGTCACACTTAGAATCTACTTTAATTCCTGTGTTAGAGAATAAGATCCTTGACTGGTGGTGTACAGGTGACATGAAGCTTTAACGACCCTCAATTAAGTAGATAGGCAACGACATTATATATATATATTATATATTATATATATATATATATATATATATATATATTATATATATATATATATATAATATATATATATATATATATATATATATATATATATAAACTGTAACTGTTTTGCATGATGGTAGGATTGCTGGTTTCTTTTTCTGTCTCATAAACACGCTAGATAACAGGGATATCTTGCTACTCCTACTTACACTTTGGTCACACTTCACAGACACGCACATGCATATATATATACATACATCTAGGTTTTTCTCCTTTTTCTAAATAGCTCTTGTTCTTCTTTATTTCTTCTATTGTCCATGGGGAAGTGGAAAAGAATCTTTCTCCATAAGCCATGCGTGTCGTATGAGGCGACTAAAATGCCGGGAGCAATGGGCTAGTAACCCCTTCTCCTGTACACATTTACTAAAAAAGAGAAGAAGAAAAACTTTATAAAACTGGGATGCTTAAATGTGCGTGGATGTATGCGCCATGACAAGAAACAGGTGATTGCTGATGTTATGAATGAAAAGAAGTTGGATGTCCTGGCCCTAAGCGAAACAAAGCTGAAGGGGGTAGGGGAGTTTCAGTGGGGGGAAATAAATGGGATTAAATCTGGAGTATCTGAGAGAGTTAGAGCAAAGGAAGGGGTAGCAGTAATGTTGAATGATCAGTTATGGAAGGAAAAAGAGAATATGAATGTGTAAATTCAAGAATATGTGGATTAAAGTAAAGGTTGGATGCGAGAAGTGGGTTATAATAAGCGTGTATGCACCTGGAGAAGAGAGGAATGCAGAGGAGAGAGAGAGATTTTGGGAGATGTTAAGTGAATGTATAGGAGCCTTTGAACCAAGTGAGAGAGTAATTGTGGTAGGGACCTGAATGCTAAAGTAGGAGAAACTTTTAGAGAGGGTGTGGTAGGTAAGTTTGGGGTGCCAGGTGTAAATGATAATGGGAGCCCTTTGATTGAACTTTGTATAGAAAGGGGTTTAGTTATAGGTAATACATATTTTAAGAAAAAGAGGATAAAAAAAGTATACAAGATATTGATGTAGGGCGAAATGACAGTAGTTTGTTGGTTTAAATGTATTGGTAGATAAAAGACTGTTTAGTAGACTTCAGGATGTACATGTTTATAGAGGGGCCACAGATATATCAGATCACTTTCTAGTTGTAGCTACACTGAGAGTAAAAGGTAGTTTGGATACAAGGAGAATAGAAGCATCAGGGAAGAGAGGTGAAGGTTTATAAACTAAAAGAGGAGGCAGTTAGGGTAAGATATAAACAGCTATTGGAGGATAGATGGGCTAATGAGAGCATAGGCAAGGGGGTCGAAGAGGTAATGGGTAGGTTTAAAAATGTAGTGTTAGAGTGTTCAGCAGAAGTTTGGGGTTACAGGAAAGTGGGTGCGGGAGGGAAGAGGAGCGATTGGTTGAATGATGATGTAAAGAGAGTAGTAAGGGAGAAAAAGTTAGCATATGAGAAGTTTTACAAAGTAGAAGTGATGCAAGAGGGAAGAGTATATGGAGAAAAAGAGAGAGGTAAGAGAGTGGTGAAGCAATGTAAAAAGAGAGCAAATGAGAGAGTGGGTGAGATGTTATCAGCAAATTTTGTTGAAAATAAGAAAAAGTTTTGGAGTGAGATTAACAAGTTAAGAAAGCCTAGAGAACAAATGGATTTGTCAGTTAAAAATAGGAGAGGCGAGTTATTAAATGGAGAGTTAGAGGTATTGGGAAGATGGAGGGAATATTTTGAGGAATTGTTAAATGTTGATGAAGATAGGGAAGCTGTGATTTCGTGTATAGGACAAGGAGGAATAACATCTTGTAGGAGTGAGGAAGAGCCAGTTGTGAGTGTGGGGGAAGTTCGTGAGGCAGTAGGTAAAATGAAAGGGGTAAGGCAGCCGGGATTGATGGGATAAAGATAGAAATGTTAAAAGCAGGTGGGGATATAGTTTTTGAGTGGTTGGTGCAATTATTTAATAAATGTATGGGAGAGGGTAAGGTACCTAGGGATTGGCAGAGAGGCATGCATAGTTCCTTTGTATAAAGGCAAAGGGGATAAAAGAAGTGCAAAAATTAAAGGGGGATAAGTCTGCTGAGTATACCTGTAAAGTGTATGGTAGAGTTATTATTGAAAGAATTAAGAGTAAGACGGAGAATAGGATAGCAGATGAACAATGAGGCTTTAGGGAAAAGGGAGGGGGTGTGTGGACCAGGTGTTTACAGTGAAACATATAAGTGAACAGTATTTAGATAAGGCTAAAGAGGTCTTTTTTGGCATTTATGGATTTGGAAAAGGCGTATGACAGGGTGGATAGGGGGCAATGTGGCAGATGTTGCAAGTGTATGGTGTAGGGGGTAGGTTACTGAAAGCAGTGAAGAGTTTTTACGAGGATAGTGAGGCTCAAGTTAGAGTATGTAGGAAAGAGGAAATTATTTCCCAGTAAAAGTAGGCCTTAGACAAGGATGTGTGATGTCACCGTGGTTGTTTAATATATTTATAGATGGGGTTGTAAGAGAAGTAAATGCGAGGGTCTTGGCAAGAGGCGTGGAGTTAAAAGATAAAGAATCACACAAAGTGGGAGTTGTCACAGCTGCTCTTCGCTGATGACACTGTGCTCTTGGGAGATTCTGAAGAAAGTTGCAGAGTTTGGTGGATGAATTTGGTAGGGTGTGCAAAAGAAAAAAATTTAAAAGGTGAATACAGGAAAGAGTAAGGTTATGAGGATAAAAAAAAGATTAGGTGATGAAAGATTGAATATCAGATTGGAGGGAGGGGAGTATGGAGGAGGTTGAATGTATTCAGATATTTGGGAGTGGACGTGTCAGCGGATGGGTCTATGAAAGATGAGGTGAATCATAGAATTGATGAGGGGAAAAGAGTGGTGCACTTAGGAGTCTGTGGAGACAAAGAACTTTGTCCTTGGAGGAAAAGAGGGGAATGTATGAGAGTATGGTTTTCCAACGCTTTTAAATATGGGTGTGAAGCATGGGTGATGAATGTTGCAGCGAGAAGAAGGCTGGAGGCAGTGGAATGTCATGTCTGAGGGCAATGTGTGGTTGTGAATATATGCAGAGAATTCGTATTTTGGGAAGTTAGGAGGAGGTCGGGATTACCAAAACTGTTGTCCAGGGGGCCTGAGGAAGGGTTGTTGAGGTGGTTCGGAACATGTAGAGAGAAGGGAGCGAAACGGGAATAACTTCAAGAGTGTATCATCTGTAGTGGAAGGAAGGCGGGGTAGGGGTGGGCCTAGGAAAGGTTGGAGAGAGGGGTAAAGGGGTTTTGTGTGCGAGGGCAGGGACTTCCAGCAGGCATGCGTGATCGTGTTTGATAGCAGTGAATGGAGACAAATGGTTTTTTAATACTTGACGTGCTGTTGGAGTGTGAGCAAAGTAACATTTATGAAGGGGTTCAGGGAAACCGGCGGGCCGGACTTGAGTCCTGGAGAGGGGAAGTACAGTGCCTGCACTCTGAAGGAGGGTGTTAATGTTGCGTTTAAAAACTGTAGTGTAAGCACCCTTCTGGCAAGCAGTGATGGAGTGAATGAGGGTGAAAGTTTTTCTTTTTCGGGCCACCTTGCCTTGGTGGGAATCGGCCAGTGTAATAATATATATTATATATATATATATATATATATATATATATATATAATATATATATATATATATATATATATATATATATATATATGTAATAATAATAATAAAAAGAAGTTTTCTTTGTCAGAGGAAAGAAAGTCTCCCTGATAATATTGTGTTACATAGTGTAAGTGTATACTCAGTGGCTCCCTATTAAAACAGTGTATAGTGTATACTACAGTGGCTCCCTAGTATACATAGTGTATAGTGTATACTACAGTGGCTCCAAAGTATACATAGTGTATAGTGTATACTACAGTGGCTCCCTGTTTACACAGGTATAGTGTAACTACAGTGGCCCCCTAGTATACACAGTGTATAGTGTAAAACTACAGTGGCTCCCTAGTATACATAGTGTATAGTGTATACTACAGTGGCTCCCTAGTATACATAGTGTATAGTGTATACTACAGTGGCTCCCTAGTATACACAGTGTATAGTGATACTACAGTGGCTCCCTATTTATACATAGTGTATAGTGTATACTACAGTGGCTCCCTAGTATACACAGTGTATAGTGTATACTACAGTGGCTCCCTAGTAAAACATATGTATAGTGTATACTACATGGCTCCCTAGTATACACAGTGTATAGTGTATACTACAGTGGCTCCCTAGTATACACAGTGTATAGTGTATACTACAGTGGCTCCCTAGTATACATAGTGTATAGTGTATACTACAGTGGCTCCCTAGTATACACAGTGTATATGTATACTACAGTGGCTCCCTAGTATACACAGTGAAATATGTATACTACAGTGGCTCCCTATTTATAAAATAGTTATAGTGTATACTACAGTGGCTCCCTAGTATACACAGTGTATAGTGTATACTACAGTGGCTCCCTAGTATACACAGTGTATAGTGTATACTACAGTGGCTCCCTAGTATACACAGTGTATAGTGTATACTACAGTGGCTCCCTAGTATACACAGTGTATAGTGTATACTACAGTGGCTCCCTAGTATACACAGTGTATAGTGTATACTGCAGTGGCTCCCTAGTATACACAGTGTATAGTGTATACTACAGTGGCTCCCTAGTATACACAGTGTATAGTGTATACTACAGTGGCTCCCTAGTATACATAGTGTACAGTGTATACTACAGTGGCTCCCTAGTATACATAGTGTATAGTGTATACTACAGTGG